ACCACAATGATGGTCCGTTTGGCTCCGTTGGCTCCTTTTGCTTGCCTCAAACAAACACAAACGATGGCACACCTTGACCGCAAGTGCATGACTGTTGAGGTTTGGAGACGAGACGAAATGTCCCTTGACAGTCGGCTGTCCGTAGCGCTCTCCATCGTGTCTCCATTCCCAAATAGCCGACTGCCGGACAACGAATGTAAGCCGGATAACAAGTGACACAGATTTGTTGTCCTGGACTGAGCAGGGCTGCGTGGGTCATCCACACGTGAGACCATGTATTAGTCATACCCCAGTCAGACATGAGACGTTTAGATTGCAGTATAGGAGCTGGTCGTGAACCCCACGAGCGATGTCGGCGGATGCGGTAATACGAATACGGGTCGGAACTGTACGGCATATAACCGTTAGCGTATTGCCAAAGAAGATTGTGAGCTTGACAGGCGGGATTCGCGTGGGTGATTTCGTAGATCGTGCAGTACCTGAAGATATCAAAATAATTAAAATGCATTAAACCGATGTGTTTTATTTTATGGCAGCGAAATGATATACGCCACCATTAGGATATTACAGTTATGTATGTTTTATAGGAACCGACAGAATGTAGGATTCCTATTCACTGAAATCTAAATAAAATTTTCCCTGCATCTGTACACATGTACACTGCATACTCATACAGAATCATAGGCGGAAAGAATTGCTTCTCTACTTAAACTAAAGTATTTCCTGAAAAGTAGTTCATAAAAATGTCCCTCTTCATTTTTTTGTGCGAATATCCGACTACATTTGTGTGTTCCTTGGAAATCTCGAGATGGTTTCCAACATCTGGAGTGTGTTTTGACTTTTGAGGTGAACAGGGGAATTTTCATGAGCATAAATCATAGACTCAGTAACCCTCTATCTATTGAGAGCTAAATTATGCTTCATTCTACAGCAACAACAACAACAACAAAAACCACTTCGATTATTCATTAACAACAAAGCACAGTTGTGGAGTTATGGGGTAAAGACAGGCAGAGGCCGGCAAAATGGATCCATTATCCGTGCAATAGGTGTATTGATTTCAATCATGCACCTAAATAAAAACAAAGATGTAAGTTTCTAGGTCAATGTAAATGTTTCGTGTACAGTTTCTGTTGTTTAAACATTGAAACCGGTCAGACAGGTGAAGAGCTGGGTAAATGGGAGAGTCTACAACAACAAGTTGATCGCTAACAAACACCAAACACAGCTAACCATTACTGCTAATGTCATTTCACAACTATCTAGAATAATTGGTCACTAGTACTACACATTCTCGTTGTTATTATGAAGCTGAATATTTCCATACGTTGGGCTCCACAATTTGTGACAAGGAACACAACATTGCGTGAATTGCAAAATTCATGTATTCCCGGGATCAACGTGATCCTGCTCAGTTGGTACCTAGGACAGAAAAAATCGATTTCTTTATCAGGGTAAAGCACTATGGCCTCATGCGGGCGATTGAGGGGTGGGGCGGGAGAGGGAGAAGGAACAGTTTAACGCATCAGCGAAAAACAACAAAAATGCCACTGAGTTCTTTCTATTGGCACAAAGTGGATTTCCAGCTCCGGTGGTCCAGTCGAATCTTATCTATCTATTTTTGAATGCGAGCGCGCAGTCACTCCTGTCGGCAGAATTGAGAAACAGCTAAATAATCAGACTATCGAACATAGTCATAATCAATCATCATGCTTCTATCAGCATCTGATCGATCATAACCAAATCAGTGGGAATTATCCGTGTGGTTAGATCACTACATTTTACTACATTTTGGGTAGGTAATGGTGATCTGTTGATGCAAACCTAACCTGTACCAGTGGAAAGTACTTCGTTATACCGTAGCTCTAATCTGGTAATGTGTCACACAGCTTCCTTCTGACCCTTAATAAGACTCAGCCTATTCCTATTGAATAATCCGCATTATACCGGGAACAAATTCTGCAATTTTGTGGTGTTTCGATGAATTAGCCAAAAGAGTCCAGTGTTTACACTAAATGGATCTTGGGAAGCGGTCCCCAGGAACTGCTTTTCTTTTCGACACTTCTACCAACAATAAATCGATTGATTAGAGCAACTCATTGACGTTATGTCAGCCATTAGGTTAAGGGCTAATAACCCAGACTACGGAGAGATTCCGGCTACGATGCCCCAATTTAATGTTTTGGATGAATTTGTGGCGCTTATGTGATTAGTCTAAAAAGTCATATTTGTTTTTATTTTCAATAAATTTTGTCCATGTAATTATTATTCATTTATCCTAATACACTGTCGCTTTTAGGACAGAGTCTGCCCACAGTTCACACAGACTGGTCCCAAATCCTCAGATATCGTACACACTACCGCTTTATACGTTAGAAAGGTATTCAACCTAGCCACCATCAAAAAATGTACCGGAATGGCTTACGCGGTTGATGAAACAACCTCTGATGACACTCCAGGTAGATACGAGAAATAGAGTTTCATCCACTGCGAAATACCTGTTAACTTAAGATTATAGAGCTGTTCTCATCACGTCACTTAACCTATTCTCACTTAAGTCACTTCCAACTTTACTGGCCCAGAGTGGTGATTCGTTGCGCATGACAGGCTCCCGCTCAGTGTGAAATGGAAAAGTTCTCAAAAAGTTTGCTTGCCTCGAGCAGGATAACCTAAATATCTCACTATTTCGCTCTGCATGGGCAGTGCACCTCAAAGACATGGTTAATCTTTATAGTGGCCAACATTGAACGTAGATGAAAGGCAGGCACCCTGCTTTGAGAAATCATTTAACTGTGGCCCAATATTCCAAATAAATCGCTTCTATTTCCCTAAAATGACATATGTAAGACACATAACTCGGTTTAATCAAATGGTGCTTATGCTATGGGTACTGAGTTAATTCATTTTCGTCCGCCACCACAAACACGAATCTGACAGCATTAATTCTGATTATCTAAATCGCTACATTGTAGTTGGACAAAATAATTATCAGATCTTGATCAATCGGATCATCATCTTCCGTACCGTATCCAGTACAATTCTTATGTAGTTATTTCTCAGTCAACCTCCATCAAGGTCACTCAAGGATATGACCTTGCGATAACGTTTGTTCAGTTGTCCTAAAGACTGTTATTTTTGCCGTATAAAAATATTGAGTATAGATAATCTGACGATAAAAATGCTATGGAACCTAAGCGACTAAGTCCAAAAGTGATTCATTTGCATGCAACCAAAGCGTCTCTCAAATGCAAGTTTGATAGACATTTTCAGTACTATGCAAATAGCATGCATGTTGAGGTTTGTGAATGAATCCGGACGTGTTGTACTTCCTTTAAGGAAACTCAGTTTACTTTTTGGTACTCCTGTCTTCTGCCAGAAAGTACTGTTTACAGCATATTTCACGGTAATTTCCCCTGTACTTTACCTTCAATCATCAAATCTCCGTCAGATTAATTCCCACACACACACACAGACAAACAAACTCACTGCAATAGATTTTTCAATATCCATTATGAATGAGTAAAACAGATGGATATGTCAGCACATCCGATCTTATCTGCATTGGGATCATTTTCAATCTCAACTATAAAAGTTACAAATGACCTTTACTTAGTGAACAGCTTACGAAATACTCTTCGTGTGACCACTTTATCCGGTCAAGGTCATTGGTTTTACCAAGAGAACTATTATAACATTACGAACGCCAATCAGTTCGGTCCCCGCCGAATTACGATGAAAGTCAGTGCATTATTATATCAATTTTTTTGTGTGTAGCATCTGCAATGTACACACAGTAATCTTTGCTATCGCATTATTTTACAACTATTTTTAATTATTAAATAAACTCAGAGTGGCCGAAGGATGAGTTCATCGTGCAACGGGAACAAATTCATAGAAATCTGAGCCACAACGAGAGGAGGGGGGTGGGGGGTCAATGAAAGTGGACTCACGGTTCAGGCTCCGGTTGTTCGGTTCTATTCTGCTGAATCAGACGTCCCAAGTAGAGCTTTCTTCTCACATCCCAGCGCATATCATGCTGACGAAGCATTTGCATTACATCTCCGCGAACCGGGAGCAGTTGCGCTACTTCACCTGTTGCATGAGAGGAATGAGGAAAAAGTGAGCATAATGAAGGAGATATCGTAAAAATATGGCGTTTGTTCAAAAGTAGTCAAGTACAATCCAGTGATTGAATGCGCTTCGGAAAGAACACAACATCAGTTCCGTACTGCAAAGGAAACTATAGTGAGCTGGAAAAACACTTTTTATTTTAAATTTACACGATATAGCTCAACCCATCTATGGGAGCTTGTTGCGAGTACTGGTCCTAGCTCATCTCAGCACTAGCCTCCAAGATTATGACTCGGTTGAAAACTTTCACAACCGGATTATTTGTTCCATGAGTTTGATGAAGGATTTGATTTGTTTACATGAAGAATTCGTCGTGTAAATGAAAGTAGTATGATTACGTCCAACCTGTGAGGTACCGGATTCGATCCCCAGTTGGGGGATGGATTCGCACTGCTGATTAGACCGTGTCAGGTCGAAACAGCTACCCAGTGAATCCCAGCTTTTCAGCTCAGGCCTGTTTTACATGACGATTTAATCATATAGACAAATCAAAGCATAAAATTACTTTCATAAAACACATTTCATAATCAGTACACCATAAATGAAGTAATGTCAATGACGATAGCAGGAAGATTAGTGGAGCACAAAGCAGACGGAAATTGATTGTAATCGGATACCATTCATCTGCGGTGTGTACTTTCATCGCCAACAACATGTCTTGTTAAGTTCGACCTAATTAGAACTTATTTTATATAACAGAATGAGTTAGAGAGTCGGAAAGCTTGGGTAATATATATATATTATATTATTATACATATTATTATTATTATTTTATTATATTACATATAAATATATTGTATATATTTGGCTCATACAGGGTGGGAGTGGAGCTGTGTTAAGCTTGATCGTTGCTCATCTGGTAGAGACGGGACACTTGGTAGACATGCGCTCGGCATTTACAATCATTTATCCAGTCTCACCACATCCTTCGAGAGCAATACGGTTTCGAACGTTAGCAACCGCAGAGGCACTTAGCATCCGACTCATGAAGCCTGAGCTGTGCGCGAAACGCAATTTGATCCAAGCTCTCAAACTCCCCTGGCCAGGGGAAGAAAAAATCGCTTGTTTACATGACCATGACGTAACGACTTTAGTTGTGATCTACGCTGCGTACGAATTTCGAGTTCTCTTGGGTTAATTGCCCATCACATGACTCATACAACTTTCTGTTGGACCGTAATGAAATTGTTTCATATAAATGTGATTGTAAAGGCTTGAAAAGGAATTCACCGGAAACATATGTTCACCCACATTGCGTTGTTAATCATTGGGCATATTCCGAGATTTAATATATATTTCACACACGTCTAACGCCAGACTGTACCAAACAAATCATGGTACAGTAATCTTCATAAAAAACAAAAACGTTCCATGATTTGCATGTGGGCTTATTACAGCCAGGTTACCCAGGCTAAGGCCAAGAGCTTGGGGAAATGGTTTCCCGGTTCGAACCCGATCTCACATGGATAAGGCATCTGTAACGGATGAAACATTTTACCGATCTTGACTTTAGAGAGCGACAGTAGCAATCACACAACGATTAGATCACACAATCGTACCATCGAAGCCTTTGTCAAGTTTGTTTGCACAAACCCAATCACATTGTCTATGTAGAAACGATAAGGTCTCAGAATCACGCAACCACAATGTGGGCCAGTCCGGAGCCATATGGATGAGCATAACTAACAACAGGAATCCTATGTATCGCAAACAGCCATGTTCGATAAGTGACCGCGCTTTGAGAAATATCCGCCATAGTTCATCAGCAAGTTCACAGTTCCTCATTATTCTTCCTGTTTGGATGTCACCTGCTCACAGGTTGTGTGTGACAGTTTTCTGAGACACATTGAGCGCAGTTCAACTGTTTGCTCTTATGTGTGGTTACCGACTGGCATCGGAAGTCGAATAATGAACTTGTCTGTAATGTGATTCGTTCCAATTCTCTCTCGTTCCCCGTTTGATGTTACCCATTCACCGACGACCGAGTTTTTCGCACCATTTTCAAGACCTGGTAGTCTCTCACATGCAAACAAAAGGAGCACTTATGGCAGCCCAATATATGTTTAAAGCGCATGGGGAAGCAATAGGTGCCAGAAAAGTCATTACAATTGCTACTAACGCTTCGTGGGTGTATTTTGTCTGAACTAGTCACTAAAACCGATCATCTTCATCTTACCGGTTTGTATGAGGGTTCATTCGGATCACTTTGGTTGGAAAAGTGACTTTCCTCTCCACCTACCAACAGAGTGCTAGCGATTCCGAAAGGTAATCGGATCGCCTAATTTCGGTCATCGGTGCTATTTTATGTATTGATTTTCTTACTCGGAATATTGTAGCACTGATCGAGGAATAACATGGGAAAAAGCTAATTGCTGGCTTGCATTCTTTTGCCCCCTAGTCAGATGAAATTCTAAAAGGTAGAAGTACTGTGTGCAAACTGCAGTGTTTAAACTACCTTATTGCACTTACTCCGACGTAACAAAATAGAAGTCCAAGGTACAGGTTATAGTTAGAAAATTAAGGAGAATAATGCAAAGCAAACGTTCATTATCTCATTGAAGATATGCATTGAAATATGGTCGAGATTCTGACGAGCTGAATACGGATTTGTTGTTAGCTGTTCACAGCACCTAAATTCCATGGAAACGCTGTCTGTCAAAAGAGGCTCATAGTTATTCTACTTTGGGAATCGGATGATGATAACGATGATTCAGATGATGATGATGATGATGATGATGATGATGAAGA